TTAAGTTTGGGGTGTTTTTAACTAATGTTGTTCAATTAGAGACAGAGCTTTCTGTATATTACTGTTGTGAGTAGCCACAAGAAAGTTAACAGTAGAGTTGTCCTGAGTTCAAAGCTAGAAGCAAAGTTCTTCACCCTGTTGCAGGTACTAAATGAAGCCACGCTGACATCCTCTTTGGTTTAAGGAAGGATACTGTCCTGTTTTGGAAAGTGCTAATAATGTGAACAATGTTATAATAAAATGTGTCCTCACTACAATATTAACAGAAGCACATTTTTCAACGTATCAAACTAAGTCTGCTTCTGAAAAGCCTCAGAGAAACTGTCAATAGAAAATTAATCACAATTCACACATTATTAAGAAATACTAGAACGAAGTTCTGCATATTTAAGGTGATGCTTGCCATCTTAGGCAATGAAGGATCAACTAATGCGATTACATACTCTCACGTTCCCTAAACATTAAACATTGTTTTGTCATTAATTTCAAGTGATTAATGCCTATACATACCCTTATACTTTGGGTAAAATGATGTTATACTAGTACATGTTTAGCTTTTCAGTAGAAGGGCATTAATGAATCCCACCTAAAATATAACTGCATAAAAGATCATTAAAATTAAACTGATTTATCAACTTAATCTATTTTAGTAGCATTCAGAATTGGTCTTTTTCATTCACTTGTGAAAAAGAGGGTATGACCTGTAAGCAGATGTAGGTTCAGCCTGAGAAATGCATACAGCAGAAGGCTCTATTGTGCCTTTTTTTTTGTCAGAATGCTTGAAGAATAGTTAATATAAACAACAAAATGCTTGGTCTTCAAGTGCCTGCTGGTTAAAGCTATGTTTAAATGCCACGTGATAATTTGCTCTCTTCATTTTCTGTTAATAAAAAGACGTCTGCTCTGCCTGCTTCTAAGCTGATAATGTAAATCATTGTTTTTCTTAGACTTGTCTAATATCAACCGTGGACTCTGCAGAAGCCTTAATTAATACAATTGTGTTCTAAAAGAAAATTTGGGAATTGAGGTCCTTGGATATTAAAGTCCTATAAGTAGATAATAAAATCTCTACATCAAAATTCTAAACAATTTAATCTTCCGTTTACTAGGAAACAAAAAGTCAAAGTTTTATCTTGCTAATTTGAAAATTGTCATTGCTGAATTTAAAAAAAAGTGCTCTTAGAAAGCACTGAATTCTTCTAAAACAATTTGTTTCTAGCAGCCAAGATGACATTTAAGTTTTGTTTTTGTTTTTCCTACACCCTTGAAATGTAGTTTATTATATAAATGTCTTGAAGTAAGACCTTAACTGAAGTATTTTTCTTGTATTTTGTTTTTCATCATAATTTCTCATCTCTCTCTGGCAAATTCTTTTGGTCAGCCTTACTCTTCTCATCTGTGTGTGTCTGTGTACATGTTAGAATATCTGTCTGTGCATTCCTCTCCTCATACTCTTTTTTTTTTTTTTTTTAAAGACAGGCTAACGTGAGGGTCTATGTTTTTAATGAGGAAAGCTTATTGAAAATACTTGAGAAATTTATAAAACATACAAATATGCAAAAAGCATCAGTATCAATGATGTTCCAGAGGAAAAAAGAAAAGGCAGTCATGTTCAGTTAGTAATTCACAAGGCTGTCTGAACACGGTCTTGCTTAAGGTAACAATTCACTATGAGAGGCCACTAGGAGAAGCTGTTTCCAAAGTTGAGGGCTGGAAACAATCTACAGTCAACCCAGGGTCCATCATTTCTGATTCCCATTGGAACTGGGTTACCATTTTTATCTCACGTGCAAAAGCTGTTCACAAGAATCTTAATCCTACAATGCATCAAGTGACCTCTGCAAATTACTACAGGTTTTAAGACCTCTGGACATCAAAATATTTCTAGAGGGTACTCCAAGCCTTAAAGGATTGTATCAAGTGAGGCAAAACAGTCCATTCCCAGAGGAAAACCTAAATCCACCAACTAATCAGTCAGTTTCCCTAGAATAATTGCCATCAGGACAGCAATCCTGCAAGACTGTCACAGTAAAAGTTTCTTTAAAAATTCTGGTCAACCTCTATTTTTGGTGTCATTATTTAAGTGTCTTATGGTTGAACAGCTGCTTCCCACTTGAATTTACTAGTTCATGAGGTACTTATTTCAAATCTCTTTTGATATTTAAGTCTGAGTGATTTAAACAATTTGAGATGTGACCAGAGAGAACATTACATCTGTGCCAGTTAGACTGTGATCTAAGCAGACAAGACAGGCTAATCCAAATCCAATTGACAGAGTTCTCAAAAAACGGGAAACTAGTATAAGTGTGAGAGAGAAGGCTACTCAGGTTTTGAGTGTTCACTGTTTCACCTAGTTCTTTAATCCCCAAAGCAGTTGTGAAGAATAAGGAGGAAAAGAATGTGGAGGAAAGGAAAATTCACTCTCCCTTTACCTTCTTGAGAAGATAATGTTAAAAAGAAAACTCTTCTTAAGACAGTCCATCACTTTTCTTGGCTGCGTTCTTGAAAGAGAGATCTCAGGCTGCAATAAGAAAGCTGAATACTGGTTTCAAATTGAAAAAGTCCAAACCGCTCTCCATAACATTTGGGATCATAGGAAAGGCGCATTTGTTGTTGGTTTTAGTTGCAAAATAGTTCTTGCATAGTTTATGGATTATTTAAATGTTCAAAAACCAAATGACTGCTTGAGTCTGATTTTCTTGGCAGGCACAGGAATTCGTAAATAAAAATAACCAGCTCAAAACAGTGCTACTTTGTTTTATTCTGTCTTTAAAGCAATCAAAGAAAAAGATCCATAAGACAAAATGACTTGGAATTTTGAAACTATCTGTTTTTTCTGTTTCAGCTCATCTCACAGAATCACAGAATGGTTTGGGTTGGAAGGGACCTTTAAAGGTCATCTAGTCCAACCCCCCTGCTATGGGCAGGGACACCTTCCACTAGAGCAGGTTGCTCAAAGCCCCGTCCAACCTGACCTTGAACACTTCCAGGGATGGGGCATCCACAGCTTCTCTGGGCAGCTCAGAGTGAGATTTTTTTTCGGTGGATTCTTTTTTCTCTGTAGTAGATAGACATTCCCAAGAGCAGCAAAAAATTATCACCAGCACAATATGTGTCTCAGAATTGTGTTGTGAAAATACATTTTTATATTCTGCATGTTGCAATAAGGCTAACGGGAAGAAACAAAATAATGATTCAGAGTTTGTGCTGTTTTCTAAAAGCATGTTTTCAAGAGACAAGTTTTTCAGTGCTATAGATGGTACATTTTTCTAATGCCTTTTTGTGCACTCTTTCTTTTTTTCTGGGACATCTGCTTCTATCCAAACATCCACTGAAAATATATTTAACAGTTCTGAAAATTCTAGGTGTTGTCACTGAGGTTCTTTACGACAACAAACTCAGTGAAGTGACAGGTCCCCGGAACGTAGCGATACCAGCCTTAGTGCAGGTTGACAGATACGACATCCTACTGGCTCACCTTTTTCACTTACTGTTAGCTGGACCCCTAGGTCTTTTCTGTCATATATATGACATGCCTCAGCGAGGTTTAATATGACAGAACTATTTGCTTTATCACTCCAGAGCACGATCTCTCCTGACAATGAAATCAGACAGTGCAATTTACTTAAATTTGAACCCGTTCCATCTGTCAGAAGGCTGAGGTAAAGTATCCTGGCATCCATCAAAAGAGAGAAGATAAGTTATTTGCTCTTTCACATCAAATTTGTACAATAGTATATTGATGTGCCTGGTTACTCATATCTCCACCATATCTGATTTTTATTGTTGTCTTCACAATAATTTAAGGAGGTCAGGCATTGTTTCCACCTTGACTTGACAGATCACAAATATAAGTGATTTAAGGGGTGAGAGGATTGTTTATGTCATGACCAGGTAGCAACTTATCCCTCCTAGTTTTAAGTACAGCGGAGAAAGTTGAAGAAACAATTTAGCAAAATGATGTTGTCTCTCTTCATGTTATTTTACTACAATTTTCTCATTTCTAGAAACATTGAGATGCAATTTTGGAGGCTCTGGTGGAGGTAGATGTTGGATCCACATTTAGCGTCAGGGTAGTAAACCCAGGTGGGAAGGACTAGCTGTTTTGTTACCCTGGAGTTGGCAGTTCCAAGAGTGACAGAAAGTTTTCAGTTACTTCTTTTTTAAAGTATGCTGTGTGGGGGGAAGTTGTGACTGCATGGCAAAAATACCATTCAGGAAATGTGCATTAAATTTCTTTAATTTTGTCATTATTTTAATATAAATACATTAATAACACTTTTAGGCTAAATTCTAAGTGTGTGCTTAATGTACTTAATGCAAGCCTTATTATTAATTATTGGGACTTAAATTTGATGTGTAAAAAAATGCCAGTGCTTTTGTTTTTTAAAGACTATTTATTTGTAGCAACCGTTATGCTATATTTCTATGGCAGCCTTGTTTCCATGCTGCTATTTCTCAATATGGAATGGGGGATCAAAAGTCTATGCTTACTTTAAGTAGGGGGATTCCTAGGTGTTGCCGGCCCTGGCTTTTCTCTCTGTAGTTAGCCTCCCACCTTTATTTTAAAATCACTTGCAGACATATTATGCCTCTGGGAAAATATCAAGAAGATTCAAGGAGTTTAAATTCTGCAAGATCCAATAGGCCCCTCTAATGCCAATAGTACTAATTTTCTTGAGAAAGGGTATTACATATCTTTGGGTATTATATATCTTGGGGGATGATTTGGGAGAAATATATGCTACCTTGTGTTCATATTGGGATCAAGTAGAAACTTAGGACTTGAATTTAAAAGTTCAGCTCAAAATTTTAATTGTCTAGTTGCAGTCTGTTCTTTAACTATATTCACAAGTTACTCTTTATCCTTCAAGGCAAAGGGAAAGGGGAAAGGAGAGTTACTACACATGTTCACTGAAAGCTTTAAAAATAAAGACCACTGTTCAAAGATGAATCAGCATGAAGAGATATCAACATTTATTAAATATTTAATATTACAGGCCAGATGGAATTGGAACAGTATCTGTTGAAGAAAAAGAAAGGTTTGAGGAAATTAAGGACAGACTTTCCTCCCTTTTAGAAAACCAAATAAGCCATTTCAGGTGAGTGTATAATTTATTTAATTAATACTACTTTTTCTGGAAGAATTTTCTTACAATGTTCAATTTTGGTCTTGAACAAGTGAAGTGAAAATCAAATAGTCTACCTGCAAAGAATTTTTGAATATATTAAATGTGGAGTGATTTATTTACACGAGTGAGTATGCTTAAAATTTATTTGTATATCATGTGAGTTGTATTTTTCAATGGTAGAAAAGATCGTGCAAGAATATAGGCCTGGTTTTTGTCAGTCCTTTTAAACTTTAAGCTTTCTGTAACTCTAACTAAGAAAATTGTCTGAATGAAAATGACTGAGCCATAGCAATTTCTGGGTTGATCAGAAAAATCATATGAGTAGAGAACATCTTTAATAGCTGGCAGCTAAAACTTTTCTACACGTCTAATGTTGATTTCTTATTTTATGATATACTTAGCTTTCCTAAATAGCTAAGGTTCATCACCCTCAATAAAGTTTGTCATATATAAGGATCATCAATACCAGTGAAGATGTTTAGGGAAGGAGTACAAGAAACAGAGCACATTTGGGATCATATTTCCTTCTATTTTCTAGTAATTGATGGTTTATGAAGCTTAACATAAAAAAGGCATGTAGACCAGAAAATGTGTTAATCGCACTAAGCCAAGCTATCTGCCATCATTTTGTCAATTTCATCCTTTTTCAGAATATATTTATAAAAATTTTTTGTCTCCTATAACAACCAGTTCTACAGTTATATAGTGCCATGTGAAACAGCTTTCTTTTGTTTGGCAAGGTTGGCTAAGGTTTGTTGGATGCCCCTCTGGTTTGATGAGGTAAGCAGCTAGTATTCACTGGTATCTGTCATGTTCATAACTAGGCTTTTGGGGATTTTTTGAGTATAGAGGACATACCAGTCTTCACTTGGGACTTCACCTCTGTATTAAACTAAAGAGAGCTAGGATTCTCCTTGGAGGGTGTTCCTTTGGGGAAAAAAATGATGCTCCCTTCCTTTATTTCCTTTAAGGATTCTTCCCTGACACATTTCCTGTTTCCTGTCTTCCATGGGATTAAATAGCTCTTGCCAGAGAAGTGATACAGAGTGGCATAAGACAGAGTGCTTCCTACCGAGGTCTTGGAAAGGCAGGAGGAGAGGACTGACAAAGAACGTCATCTGCAGGGGGAAGGAAAACTTACTTCTGTGACAATCTTCTCATGCTTTCTACAAAAAAAAAAAAAAAATGAAGTCATATCAGAGCTAGAAGACTTCTGGCCTGTGACTGGCATACTTATGACTGTATCTGTCAAGTTTATAGTAGAAGCACAATCACTGTAATCTCCAATGAATATAAGTACTTTTACTCATATACAGTGCTGAGGTCAGTGAGAGTAGCTGTGGTCCAAAAAATACTGAAGCAACAGAAGCCTTCTGAATATGGACAGAGAGAGGATGGAAATGGGGGAACAAGAAGAGTGGCTAGGCATCTTTGGAAGAATTCTGTTCACCTTCAGGCCTTCACGTGCATGAGACTAGAAAATATATAATAATGTCTAAATATTTATTCGAATTGGAACAAATAAAGGTAAAACCCATCATGTCTGTTTATGTACACACTAGAGTATATTGATGAGCTTGGGCTATATCAGTGACCATAGGCTCTTTCTGCCTCAGTCTTGGTGGCTTTTGAGGGAATTCAAGTAATGTTAGAAACTCCTTGAGAGCAATTAAATGTGTCATTCAAAGATGAATGCTTCCATCCTGCAGGGGACTCTGAGGTTTAGGTTTCGTTTTTCAAGTTCTTAGCTTTTTCATAGTTCCCATGCTTGGAATTGAATATACATGTACTGAATTCTTTTTGCCTCTTCTCTTTTGCTACATTATTAAATTTTATTTTTTTATGATCACTACTACAGAGCACCTCTCCCACTCTGCACCTCTCAAACTATGTCCTGTTCACATTTGAGACCAAATTTTTTCTTGTGGGTCCTAAATTAGCTGACCAAGAAAGCAATTCAAAACTGTGTCCCAAAATATTATCATTGTATCTCATGCTAATGAGACATTGAACAAATGTACCTGTGTATAGTTGAAGTCTCTCACTATTTGCCATCAATTTTGCAGCTTCTCTAATCTCACTTAACATTTCCTAATCACTCTAGTTAAGGGGTCAGTGGTACAGACTTTCGAGGATCACCAGTGCTTTGGGATTTCTTCTGTAATATGTTGGAACTTTTCTAAGCTTTGCCTTCACTCCTCGCCTTTGCTTAGCATTACATGCACTGGGCAGCTCTCATTGTGGACAGTTTATCTGGAGTATATTTCTCTTCCTGCCTTTTTAGAGATGCACTGAACATTTGCTGTGTCCACCTAGGTCACTAGGTCACACCCATCTGAAAAGATGCTCTCCCATGCCTGTCAGCTAACCTGCAGCTTCCAGTTCTAATACTCCCCTATGGCCTTTTAAATTTTCATTTTCATTCCTATCAGCCTGGCTCCATTCATGACTAAGATGCAGTCTGCCCATCCCATGCCAGTGGCTCTCATCTGAAGAGTTTCCCAGTTCTTAAGGTACTTAAACCTTTCCTCTCTGTCATCTTACCTACCCACTGGGATCAGATCTCTGCCTGCCTCTCAGGCATCAAATGTGGAGGAGCCAGTATTTCAGAGAAAGCTGCTGCGAGGGTCTTGGGCTTTAACCACTTGCCTGGCTGTGTGAATTTTATCTCTGGAGTGTTCCTCCTACGTGTCCATATGTTGCTGGTACTAATGTAACCATGAGTGCTGCTCCTTCTCTATTCTCCCCTAGGTAATTTATATAAACATCTCCTGAGGTCCACTGCCTTTGTATCCAGGAACTAACTTACTGCTTGGTCCTCTTGGATGTCACAGACCCAATTGTCTGTATGTCTAATCATTGAATTGGCCGCTGTCACCATCTATGTCTCCCTATCCTTAAAGATCTCCTCTGCTGTGGGAGCATCTTTGGCACAGCCAGAGTGAGATCAGCTGATACGGGGGTTTTATCCAAGAGACTTAATTTCTCCTTTCCAGCAAGACGCTGCTTCCCTGCCTCCTCTGCAGCACAGAGGCATGATTGCTGAGTGTCCCTTTGGGCCTCTACTGTGAACATTTCCTTTTCTTTAAGCTGCTTATCTCAAGAAAACAACTCTTCTCTGCCAGAAGCTCCTTACCCCAGTTGCACACATGAGCGTGCTGCCCATGTTGTACTCATACCTGTTGTCTCTGCAGGAAACTGAGTAACCCTTGTTCTATGGTAGGACTTCTGTCTGCATCACAAACTTGAAACTGGTTGGGTTTTGGAAGCCTGTTATGTTACTTACTTTGCAGAACATACCTGGAAGGAAGTCTTTGATTGGAAAATATTAAATGTAGTCAAGAAATGAGTGACATTTATTCAAAAACTACCATTAGAGATTGATAGGAATAAACAGTTGGGATAAACAGTCAAGGGCTGTGGAAATATACTGAAAAATACCTGAAGATGAGTTCTGTTTTAAGATGACTTAATGCCTAAAGGTCATTAAATCTGCTTTGCTAATTTGTTAACCTGTCCCCCAAAATCATTAGCACTACAGTAAGAAAGAAACAAAATGAAGCAAAGCAAATATTGGAATTCTCACTGCAGGAAATCCTTTTTTGACCTCATTTACAGGGCTTTATTTTGACTAACACAAATGTATATCTAAAATTCAGTAGTCTGAATCCTTTTATCATTAGAAAAGATTTTACTATTGGAAAATATTAGAATATGAGGCTACCATTCTCAGTGAGTAATAATAAGAAAAACGTAATCTCAGCAAAGTAAAAAATCCTTTTCCAATTGGGGATATCCCAGAAAGATTTTATAGACAGGATTAAGAGAGGTTACAGTTTCCTGAGCATTATAGTCTCATTGAGCTGATATATTGGATCATTCAGTAGACAAAATGAAAAACAAAGATATGAATGGGATCTTTTTTTAATTTACAGAATTTTATAAGTATTAAGACAGAAGTGGTATGGTTTAAGTTGCAGCTGATAAAATTTAAGATAACATAAAATTCTTTTCCAAGCTATTTATAATATAATAGGAAAAATTATGGAATATCTGCAGGCATTTTTAATCCCATATATCTCTAGAAACCTAAATATCTGACATTTTATCCTTATCTGAATCCAATATTAAACCAAGATATACTATACAGAGTGCTACTTCACAGCTCCAGTAGCTGTCATGGCTACATGAGAAATAGTACCTCTTTCCAGGAAGATGACAATCAATCAAGCTCATCAGAGACCATTAAATATCCTTCATAGATGAGAAAGTGGAAGTGATGCTTTTTGCCTTTTATGTTTTTTCTGGATTTTAGGCCTGCGCTGCTGGTGGGCTGGTACTGCTGTACTATGTATATGCTCCATGGTAGACTACTGAAGAGGCCTTCTGCCTTCAGTGGTTCTTCGTGTTTGGGAGTCTTCTGCTAACATAATTTAATGCAAGTGGTGTACATTTACATCTCAAAGTAAATTCTTAACTTGGGTATTATAATTCTGATCATTTTCTTGTCCTCTTTTTTCTTTTCTTTTTTTTTTTTTTTTTACTTTTTAAGATACTGTTTCCCTTTCGGACGTCCTGAAGGAGCTTTAAAAGCCACACTTTCATTACTTGAAAGGGTAAGTTTGAGGACATATTTTAAATTTGGCTTGAGTACTAGGCCTGCATTTTTCTTTTGCATTCAGGCTACTGAAAGCAGGTTCATGTCTTCTCAGGTATTTTATTACTGGTTTTAATTGTTCACTGGGAGGTTTTTTTCTCAACGTCTTCCATAGAGGCAAACAGCTGTATCCTGTAGGACTTATTTATTGGACTTTCACTTCAAGCCAAGGACTCTCTGTTCCTTTATAATTTAACGATTACCCAGCATTACCTCTAAAGTAGTACAAGCCTACACTACCTTTCCTGTTTTCTGTGGGTTCTGTGCTGCTGATGTTGTCTGTGCTGGTATATAACATTAAAAAGCTTCTGTATAATCCAAATAATCTTCCATAAATGCATAATCTGAGTCAGTTTAAGAAGAAAAAGCTATATGCAGCCAAACTGACATGGGCAGCTATAAACATAAACTCTTGTTCAGCAAATCCTCTTGTGTTGACTGGAAGGGAGAAGACTTTGTAATGGTAAAAGCATCTCAGTCATCTCTGAGGGAAGAGAACTTTAAATTCCAGTAGAGATTCCATAGGAATTGTATCAGCAGGAGCCCAATGAAGCTGTGATTAAAAAAGAAAAATGCTTAGATCCCAGTAGCTTTGCCGAAATCTGAGAGGTCTTTTCCCGGGGAGTGTCAGTTGTTCTGTGCTGCAGAACGCTCCATGGATGGACTTGGAAAACCTCTGACATGTTCAAAAACACTTAGTGAGTCTGGGTATATATATGTTTTCTTTCACTTTCATCTCAGTGATTGTTGTGCTGTGTGGATTCCTTCGTGTTATATGAAAAAGCCGTTTCTTCTCACTGCTCCTGCTGTTACAAATGCTCATGTACCCTGTCTGGGGCTCGAGCAACACCATTGTCAGTCTTGACTGGGAATAAATGCGCATGCCTATACTTATGGATGCAGAACAGGTTAGAAATCTTTTATTTTACCTGTCTTCAAAAATTTTGAAATAAAATCAGATCCAGAATAAAAGTTTTTGAAAAGTGCATTTTCACTTGTTGATAACCCAGAAGTTATTTGTTAGAAAGAAGCAAGTTAACAAAGGTAGATATGTTGTATGTGTGCAAGTAATGAAGAAGTCTGCTTTGCAACAGTGTCTTCCTAATAGCTTCCCTGTTGCTGAACTTATTTCTTTTCTACCATATCCTTCCCCAGACCATATCTCTTGTTCCTCCCCTTTAACAGTAATTTTTAGATATGTTTTATAAGCTTGTCTGGGGATCCATTGGAGAAGTGTTTTTAAAAGGTTGTGAGTTATCTGAAATTTTATTATTTACATTAAATTGTAGTAAAAACATACTGAGTTTTGTTTACACCTACCTGTTGAAAGTTAATGGAGCACAAAATTAAAAATGAAAGTGAATTATTATCAATTTTTATTCCATTTTTTATAGTAATCCAGAGTATATAATGTTGCGTTCATATAAAGAGGTATATATTCTCAGTTTATCTGACTTGCAACAGATGATCCATTTTATCAAAGTCCAATATTTTTAAAATTAATACGCTTTTAAAACTGGCAAGTTTTGAAAAGCTTTATATGATCTTCTACTTGTCCATAATAAAATATTCCACCAGAAATTCAATGTTTTCCCTGCCTACTGTAAATGACTTTTTCGCAGCAAGGACACGCTGAATTTGAATGCCTTTATGAAGGAAGAAAAGCAAGTCGGTGTTAGCTAACTCTGAGGTGGTTGTTTACAATTTCGCCTTTACACTGTTGAACAGTTATGTGATGGTGCAAGTTTTCCACAGATGAGAACCAAGAAAATTTCCACACCCACATTTTTAGTTGGTGCCATGATCCAGCCCATCCATGGAACGCTCATGTTATAGTGGCCTTGGCATCACCCAAAGGAAGACTGACTGGCATGCTGCAAGATGCCAAACAGTAGGGGTATTGTATATAAATACCATGTAGGCAGCCAAACCAGGGTTGAACAGAAACCTTCAAAGACAAATGTCTAGTTCTACCAGCTGAAATAGTTCCTTTTTGATTCCTGCCTTTAATCATTATCAGATCTGTAGTAACTTTAGAATACTTTTATCCTTTTCCCTTGGGTTTTGGGTAATGAGTGTAACCAAGCGGTGTAATTGTCTCTGACACAGGTTTTAATGAAAGATATTGCCACTCCCATACCAGCAGAAGAGGTGAAGAAAGTGGTTAGAAAATGTCTGGAGAAGGCTGCCTTGATCAATTACACTCGACTTACAGAATATGCCAAAATAGAAGGTTAGTACAGCAATCAACTGCCAAAGTGGCTGTAAAAGCCAACAATGCCTATTAACTGAATATTCTGTGAGCAGCCTTTTCCCTTTCCTGAACAAACCCCTACCACAGCAAGGGGAAATGTCTCATTAAAATCTCAGCTGGTGAACTATGGAGCTTTTTCCTATTCATTGCTTTAATATGCCTCCTGGGACCCTGTTTGAATGGAAGACTAGGACTTCTTAATTTAAGTTGCCCTTTGTTCTTACTTTTGAGTTCTCCATGAATCTAAAAGGTTGTTTATGGGTTATTTTTTATTTCTCTAACTATTTCTAGTAATTCAACTACTGACAGGAAATTCTTTCCTTATCAACAGTAACAATACCTTGAAACTTGAAAACTCTGGGTTTAGATGCCTTTCTGATGTAAGGCAGACAGATAGATAAGTGTTATTTATTTTTGTTGTTGTGTTGTCAGATGTATAATAATAATCTGATTATTAAGACCTTAATTATATCCTGATTTCCTTAATGAACTAACAGGACAAAATACTAGAACTGGTGGTAAATAGCATTTTTTTCTGGAATTTGTGTATATTCTAGAACATATACCATGAAATTAACTGAAATTTTGCTCAAAAAATTAGGCTAGGATACACAATGTCATTATAATATTTGGAAACCTTATGTAGAACAAAAAAGAAACCGTAACAGACACGTCTTGTTAAGACACACCTGTTATTCTCCATAAAGTGCAGAAAGCTTGGGATGCACCTCTACAGATATATTCAGGAGTAGAAAAGTGTGTGTGCATCTATATAACTTTTGGAGGTAGAGTCAATTAACAGGAAAATATATGAAGATGAATTCTGCCTTTTAAAAGTCCCATTTTTATGCATAGTATTTTTTCCATAGCATGTATTTCTAGCAATACACTGGAAGAAATAGAGTTATCATAGCAACAAAATGAAGAAGCTTCATATGTTTAGCAATATTATAAAGCCAACTTTTTTTCCTTTTTCCATTTCTGCTCAAATTCCCTGAAAAACATGAGTTAACCAATCTCACAAGTGATTAACAAAAAACCCATCTCATCACTATAGCAACCAGTATTATATCATGGGAGTAACAACATGAAACCATCTTAGTAACCAGTTTATCATAATTAATTATGATATCATGTTGTGTTTGAGAAAGAAGGATGAATATTAAATCTATTCTGGAAAACGAAAAAGCAAAAATAATTGTTTTCCTTAGTTTTTATCTTTCTGTATTCAGGTATAAAAATAGAAATGTTTTTAAAAGATGACGAAAGCATGCAAAAGATACCTAGACTCACTGACACTAAATTAGATCGGAAAAGTTTTTTACAGTGATGTAAATACACCTTTGCCCAGTATTTTTAACTATATCCTAGAGAATTGTGGCAATTCCACTGCAAATAGCAAATTTTGCACTTTAAAATATGCACGCTGTTAACACTGCAGTACGCTGGAACAGCACATAAAGCCACCATCCAACCCATGGCATATTCTGATGTGTAAATGTATTTTTGGATTATTGTCTTTTGATTGAAATACAACTGGATTTCTGTAAGTAGTTTTACACTCATGTTACTGTAAACCCAAAGCACAGTAGATAATTGCATATAGAAGTCTAGTACCTCAATGAGAAATAGGTTGAGTACTTTTCTGAGAATAGAGTTCTATTTGAAAGTGAAGGGCTCCAGCATCATAACATCAGAAAATTAACCACATTGGTTTCCAGTAGCAATGAGGCCTACACTGGTCTCTTTCTATACTCTGGTCGTTACAAACACCCTACATTTTTACCAGTATAAATGTCATCGTTTTCAGCAATAAGTTCCATTCTGCTTCTTTAGGTTTATGGGAGTATTGTTGTATCCATGCACTGAAATGTTCTCCTCTTGAAAGTAATTCATGTTAGTGTTTGCATTAATTGCTTACTCCTCAAATTGCATACAGAAAGCATATAGTAGTTTTCTTTATAACATTACTGATGTCCTTATATGTAGCTGTCATGCATGTGGGGGATTTTTGTCCTATTCTTTGGATATTTCTTCAGTGAACAACATCATATCAATCCATAAAAATGCAACTATTGCATGATAATATCAGCTATAGACCAACAGTAACGACCTAAAAAGTAGAGGTGCAAAGAGGGCTCCAACAAAACAATATTCTTATATTCTTTTACTATTTATGTTTCTGAATTCCCAGGCACAGTATGGATGCAAACTCAGCCTGTGAGCCTGAAATAGAGACTATACGGAACTCTTAAATAAAAATACACTATCTAGACATAGACACCATTTGTCTCTCAGCTGACAAAGCCCATCACTTGGATGAGCGGACTGTCAGGACTCTCACTGCTATACTCAAGATTTTAAGATTGTAACTCCTTATTTTGTATTTAGTCTACTCCAATGAAATTACAATAGTTACATTTCTGTAATGATGTTTTTCTTCTCTCTTTTTTTGGTTTTTTTTTTACATTTAGCAACAGCAGAAAAGGACTCAGGTGATTACTATTTGTGTGCATGTCTGCATGTGGTACAGATGTAGTGTGTTGTGTCTGTTGTTTTATCATTTTTCTTGATTTCAACAATACCAAGATATTGACCAGAACAGGTGTGAACATTAAAATTAATATTGATGTAGTATAGTCCATGCATTCTTCAATTACACTGATACTTAATGATAATGTGCATATTTATTAGGAATGTAGATAATTTTATTATTTGGAATATGATGCAATTGTCGTTTCTGTGAAAGAGGTATAACTAAGTGATGCAGAAAAGTTTGGCTGTTAAATTCAAAATCAGTCTATGTATTTAAAGAAATGTTATTTCATAGTCACCAGCAAAAATGGTATCCTTTTTTTAGTGGTCTGCTGGATTTATTGAAAAAGATCTTTATAGGAAAACTAATTCCATAAAGCTGGTTTTACATTTCTCTGATATGGCTTTGTTTAGTGATGTTTAGTTTCCTAGTTACAGAAGAGTTGTGGGAGGATGGTGGTTCTTTGTGTTCCTAATTTCATGAAGCTGATATGTTGTATATTCTCCATTAGTGCAGAGAGGTTTTTTGAATGCTTATATCCAAATATTTAACAGGATAATCATAAAAAGAGCATAGGTGAAGTAGTATTTGTGGCTGAGTAGTATTGGCTGCATAAAAGTATGAGGGATTGTGCATTATGCATACCTTGAAACAGTTGCACGCACTACTTTGTCTTACCTTTTTTAAAGACGTACACACAGACCCGACGGAAGCCTGATCATGATGCTTTGTGGGGTTTCCACAAATATCAACCACAGTTATGGGAAGGGGCATTGAGTTGGCAGCTTTCTCAGAATGAAATCATTTTCCATCTGGAAAGACAGAGTGGGGTGATGACTCTAAAGGTTGCATGAAAACAGTTCAAACTGGAGTTCCTTGCCAATGAGGGGCTTGAAGGGGAAATGACAGTCCATTTTTGGAGGAACAGCTTCTTTAGCCAGTAAACAAGCAAAAAATACTAGCAAATTATAAAAACTACTTTTTCTAAAGGCAGTGTTCATAACTGAAGATTCAAAAAATTCCATTGGTTCCCAAAACTTCCATTGGTTTTCATGTGAAAGCTTTAAATGCCCTGGAAACAGAAAAGCTCTGTTTGATATTGTTAAAAAGGAGAGCAGATAATGAGTTGGTGGTACAGGCATTCATGCCACTGCCTGTTAGAATGAGTTGATACGAGCTCGTGTTGATCAGATAATCTCCTGACCCCCTCTGATCAACAGGGAGAGGTTCATTAATCAGGTGACTCAGAGCACTTGGAGGCTCCTTCAACAATTTCTCTGTGAACGGACCTATCTCACGCCATCAAATACAATGCACCCTAGGAAAGTTTCCCTACTAGGTAAGATACCTAAAGCTAGATAGCACAAATATTCCAGTTAGTATTTTTACACCTGTAGGTATTGAAGAAAATACGTCTTCAAATTAGAAATTTAGAAAAATGTCAAAACTAATCTGTGAAATGAGAAAACTAATTTTAGAGTTTGTGTCCTTTGACCTTTGCGCTCTAAAACCTCAGCTGTGTACTTTTATGTAATGTGCAGCTCAAGTACAAATCTTCTTGCTTGCTACTATTTTATCTCAGGCTCCTATGTCAGAAATACAGACCATTAAGCGCAGATAACATACAGTTACAAGCACAGGGAGAAAAAAAAAAGAGACTGTACCTGATTTCATTCATTTTACATCAGGTTTATGCACGCTTTGAAAGAAATTATTGCTATGTTCTTAGGATAGTAAAGCTGTCCCTTAACTGACCTGGCAAATACCTATATTAGAGAATGGATGAGAGGAAAGCCTATCACATACAGTGAGTAAATGGAGATTCACTGTGTGAGTTAGATGAAGCTAGAGGTTTATAGGCTGTGTTTATCATTTAATTGCTTAATTGAATTCCACTTCTGACTAAAAATGCAGCTGATAATTAATCAGACCACTCAGAAAAATTACTTTTATCGAGAGGAGTAAATAGACTGTGTTCGACTAGAATTTTGTGTCCCATTGAACCCATTTCTCTGATGCAAAAGATGAAACAGCTGAAAGGAATCCCAGTAAAATTATATTTTAGCCTGGCTAACAGGGCCAAATCCTGCTCCTGTTGGTCGCTAGCTAAACCCCTACAGATTTCATCATAAACTTAATGCACCATATGCTTAGCCCTAATACCATGTATTGCATTGTCGTGGAAAATAAGGAAAAACTAATTCCTGATAACTATTTTTTTACCCTTTAACTTGTGCACCAAATACTGTACACAGAATCTTGAATTGCAGGAGTGTCCTTGTTAGGTAATACAGAGGTGAACATGCAAATTCTTCTTGTTGCAAGAATCCTTTTTCAGCAGCGTGGTTGCCAGGTTCCCAGGTCTATTCCCCAAGTGCTCTCATTTTCACAGTCTCAATTGAACAAGACTCTGAATGCTTTCCCAGAAGACGGTGGTTACTTTCTTAATGGCAGACACAGTGGTATAAGCAGCACTTGCATCAACAGGATTTGTTTGCAGTCAGGATGACATTTTATTTAGCACTCCCATGTCATTATACTATTATGAATATAGAACAGCTTTTTTCAATAAAAATTACATTTGCAATGACAATTATACAGGGTTCAGCATGACATTCCTTACGATATGTACAGCTGAAATTGTCATTGAGTAGCTAATCTGTTCAGTCAGTGTAATTGCCATTATGGGGAGAACAGCAGCAAACCTGCTATTATAATTTTGAACTATGTCTAAGAACTCTCATGTAATGCCCTTGTAGTTTGCAGCAAGGGTTTATAATTTGTCAAGGAGATGATCACAGCATCAATATGTGAAAATCTCTTTTTAAGTACAAACCATTTTCATTTCAGCCCATGCTGCCTTTGAGACTTTGCTACCTGAAAGTACTTTTTAGATCATTTTGTGTATGGCGTATTTTCCTGTCTTATTCGGTATTAAACTTGAGTTAGCTTTTCCTATAGGTAATGTTGAACATAACTGGACCCGCTAGATGCTGAGGCCAGAGACAGATAGCATTCTTCGGATGCATTTTGTATAGCTTCCAGTGAACAGCTTATAGAAATTTGCATGCCTCCCTCGCCTGTTTTGTCTCCTTCAAAAAAGATGGCCTTCCTTATATACAGAATTCATGGTTTTACTTGTATTTTATACACATCCATTAACACACACAAAGAGTAATAAAATACTTCATTTATTCCTTCTCAGAAATGAATGGTTTTCCCCATTTAAATTTATTTGAAATCTGAATGGCTGAGGAGTAATGGACTCTGCTAGCGCTGCTGTCGTTGCCTAAGAGAAGTGATAGAAACTTACATGTAAATACATTTTTCAGCACAAGGACATTACTTTGCTGTGGAGAAAAAAAGTGGTAAATGGCTGTGAAGCGAACAGGGCAGTATCTGTCATTGTCTGTAGATATTAATTTCTATATGTCTATAATAGACAGATTGTACAGATTTGAATTATTAGGTAGTAGTCTTCTAACTCATTATTTTTAAAAGTCCGTAGTAACTGAATATACCAGACTCCTTCTGCCAATCAGTTTCATAAAAGGAATGAGAAACATTTCTATTAAAATCAGAGCAAATAGTTACTGTGTAGTGTGCAATTGCTCAAAGACAAATCACAGTTGTCATCCCAATATTTCTTTCTATCAGACAGACTGCCAAAGGCTGAATAACTGTTAACTCTGTACAACAGAAGGTCAGGAGCAACTCAACAGTTTGCTGTTTTTTAAAGGACATTGATCATTAACATACTCATTACATACAAGTTTCTAAAGGAAGGGTAGTATGTAAATGCCCCCAAGGCTCAGAAGGATCTATCCGACTTAAAAAGAAGAACACTAGAAACATTATTGAAATTGAGAAGGCAAGTGGAGAGAGTCATTGTACCTGGAGAGGACTTGATTAAAGCTCTCCATACATGTTCATTTCACTGAACAAACAAAACTGAATGAGCTGCACAGCGGCACAGCGCCTTCTTGGTCTCTGTTGTGCAGCCAAACTGAAAGAAGAGGATATGGGCAAATATCCCTGATTTCAATTTTGGAGTGGAGGTCTGGAAAAGGACCCCTGGATTGTTAGGTCCGCGTCCTGATACCTCCTTTGTAAAGGTACCCACATCCTGTCTTTAAGAGCTGGGCTGAGTCAGTCTTGGTCACTGCTCTTCCCCTTTTCCACCCCCTGCTTCACCCACGTGAAGGCAATTTCAAGTCCTCTTTGCTCTATAGGTGTAGGAAACACAGTCAAATTAGTTCCTAGTTTTTAGCATGTTAACCTCGTCCTATATCCCTAATGAAGGAGGGATAGTTCCCTCCTTCATTAGCATTTCATCATCTCCGGTTCCTCCCCACCCTATGATGCATTTTTAGACAATTGTTTTACACTTAGACATCATAACCTTGTCTCAGAGTTTTAGCCTCCTGCTCATTTGTATCATCTAGGAGCCTTTCTCTATTAGACTTTGCATTCCACCTTCTTGAACATTGCTGTCCAGAACTGTGCAGTCATCCCCATGAGATGCCTTACACAGTATTAGCAGTACTATTATACCAGAAATGCTTAAGCTAATATACTCAAGGAACACTTGTCTTTTCATGTCTATATCACGTTTGTGTCACACAGCCATTCTGTGAAAAGTTAATTCAACCCGGGCTTCAGAGTTTTGATCATTCCAGCTGATGAGCTCCCAGTTTAAAGCAAATGTTTATTGCTGTTCATGTGGCAAAATGTATTGCCCTCCATCTTAAAGTATTAAATTTTGTTCCTCTCTCTCATTCTTCGGTATTATCTTGTTAGTGCATTTTGACCCTGCTGTCTATTGCCAGTGTTTTACAACATTGTCATTTGTGCACTCCTAATATTTATTCTGAAGTCATTGGTGAAAATATTAAGGAAGCTCAGCCCTAAGATGGATCTTCAAGGATTCCTCAAGAAACCTTTCTCTGCTCTTTCTCG